CGTCTTGTTAAGCAGTCATTTGCCTCATTTTCACCTCACCGCAACGAGAAAGAAAGACATTCTGTCCCTCATTCAATTCACTTTCCTCTCCGGCATACACCATTGTGCAAAAGGTGAGGGAAAAAGAAAAAAAAAAACGACTATTATCACAAACACTTTATAATGCGAAGAGCAAATTCGGTTCACTAACATTATTGATAGCCTCAAAATGACTGGCCAGCACAGTATCTGAGTTACCGAAGCGTAGAAAAAAGAGCAAATTCGATTTTCATGAAACGAGACCGTGGCTGCTCTTCTGCTGTGACACGATACCGCGCAAAAGTTCACACAAAATACATACTTGGCGTATCCGGACTCATCATAAGACTTTGTTCCAATGAAAAAGTACTCTGCTGCGATAGGCGAGGCGCTTCTTCTCCCCTTGCAATTTCCCTGAAAAAAAATTTTTTTTTTATTCGATTTCATTGAATAAATCACTTGCATATTTATTTTGCTTAAATAAATTCAACTTCAGAAATACGAAAATCACCCAACAAAAATGACAGGCATCGGGACGGGTCCCATTTGATAATAACAGGATGTAATAAATGTTACAATGAAAATAAAAGGCATGGATCAAAAATGAAAGAAACGGTAGTAAATAATAATAACAATAACAATAATAGTAATAACAATAATAGTAGTGACAGCAATAGTAATGACAATAATAATAATAATAATAATAATAATAACAATAATATTAATAGCGGTAACAATAGTAACAGTGATGGCGATAACAATAATAAGGTGAGAAACAGTACAGACTTAAAGCACCAGGGTGTAACGAAGCTGTGTCAGTATACCATCACATCCTAGCTATAGATAGACCCCCATTCATTTGATGTATCAGGGCGAAACTGAACGAAAGAGAGAGGGCAGGGAAAATACAACAGGAGAAAGGAGTGGCGCGAATAGTAAGTTATACGAAATAATTGTAATCAATTAAGAAGCATATAAAAATTATTCAAAGGAATTAACTGATAGGATGCATCCACATACCGTGCAATGATACGTTACATTTTCCAATTTTGAAGTGAATATATCTA